AATCCACAATTTTCCAATTTTTTCTATTTACGACCAGCAAGTGTTATTTTACACATTTACAATATATTCTTTGCGTAAATCTATTCGCAACATACGAGAAACGACGGATATTTTTTGATAAGAGCGGAGAGAGACAAAGAGAGAGATTCTTCGGAATCTTTCTCCTGCTTGGAATAGGAAGAAAATTTTATAACGAAGGATCGACCTTTTATTACTCAAGCGGGAAATAACGGATGATTACATATGCATAGGTTATATTACTATGTTTATTGATTTTTAGACAAGACCGAGCACGTGTTCACTGATTACACGAAGTGACGCTTCGCTATATATGCTCCATGAACACCTGTAGATCTCGCTTTGCTAGCCGTGCTGTTGACCGAGCGGCGCTTAAGCAATTGTATTATTATTATACGAGCAGATGATAATCCTCTGTCTTTTTGTGCGTATGCAGCGATTCTCATTGGAACAAGTATAATCACACATACTACCATTTTGTTTAATTTTTCTTGTTTTAATGAATGTAAAATTTTTGTTTATATTTACGGAGTTTATAAATTTATGAACAATTTAGATTTCTCTTCTCTCTCTCTTTAATGTTGCATATTAATACATTTTTCCTTTTTTTACATTTATCTGTCATATTTGACGAATAATGTATTGACTTTTGTTGTGATATATATGTAGGTTACCTCAATGAGATATATACTACTTATCTTGAAAGTTTTGTTTCTATATCATGTTTGAGTGTTTATTAGTTGATAAGCCTCTGGAAACTTTTCGGATAATATACAGGTCGCATAATATATATTTCTCAATGCGAGGGAAATTTTAACATTAGTTGTTTTATTACATATAACGCGCGAGTGTGAGACGAGACAGTTTATATTTGAAATATGTGATAAATAATTCCGATGGTCAATGCCAAATTAAGAACTCTGCCGTTTAATTTTCACGTAATAAGCAATGAATCTCGTTATGAAGTTATTAAAGTAAAGTACTAGTCCTTAATGAGATTTGACAGTGGATCATTTTATAATATAACTGTAAAGCGATCTCTAATTATGGAACATTACGTTCTTGAATATTCAAATCATCATTATGATCTAGTTTTGAGAAAATTGCATACACACATGAATATAATACAAACATGCATGTATATAATTCAAGTTCATAAATAAAATTTACTAGCTGACAATTTTCAATATTGCATACACATGTCACACATTGTAATTGTTACTTTGAAATTGTTGTTTGATCCATAAAAAAATGCACATTATATACATATACAATTTTGATCGTGTTACATATATGTACATTTTGTGATACATGTTTAACGTAATTCTAAGTTTTCTCTTAATTCTCTTTTTTGTAATTTTTTGCTCTAAGTTAAGTCAAACAATATCAATTTCTGCCGATTACAGGAAACGGTGGCAATCAAAGATAATTTGTTTGAATAGTAGACTAAGTAAACAGCAAATGGCAGTAATTCGTCATTGAGATTCATCTCAAGAAATGGCCTTGGACCTTAGTTTAAGAAAAGAAAGCACAGCTGAGAGAGAAACCTTTCGATCGATATGCAATTACGGTTTGTGGTCCGTAGGGCAATAGAGCAACTTTACATCGCGGATAAATATTTGCGGCGGTAAATAAACGAGTAACATCTGCTCACCAAGCGTTTATTTGATTCAGAAGGGAAGGGATGAGAATTAACACGAAAAGGAGAAAGATACGTTTCAGATGATGTATTATCGAAAGTCATCTTGCGATTGGACATATTGATCTGATAAGCAGTACTAATAACTTTATAATTTTTATTTCTCATAATTTTTTAATATTTTAAAAATTGAAAATAACACTATAAAATTTGGCGGAAACATCTTAGAAGATTATGGATTTTAATGATTCAATTTTACTCGAAAAAAACTTTGATCGCCATTGGCTCTCTTTTTTGTCAATGTAATATCAATATTTTTAAAAAAACTTATCGGAAGTGGGCAAAATAAATAGGCATTTATGAATTTTATGAAAAAATCTTATAGAATTACAAATATTTAATTAATTTTACAATAATTTCTGTAAAACTTGTAATTTTTTAAAAATATATTTTATATAATCACCGATATGTGGTATCGAATATAACGAGATTAATTATCAATCTGCGACCATATATAGTTGGCATTTAAAAGAACTGCCTCTATCGAAAAAAAAAGATCACATTCTGGGATCATTAATGGCAGAGTTATTGGTGGCTTCTCTCTTTTTCTCTCAATCGATATCCATGTCCTTGCATAGGGACTTATTTTCATTGAACGAGAAGTTCAAAGTCTGCGACAAGGTCACATAACCGGTGGCGATATTAATGTCAACATACGCAAGAGATTGCCTTGACACGGAAATTGCATTATCGCAATAAATCCCAACAGAAATTTTTATATCATTATATGTTGATGTTTTTCCGTTTTTCAAGTAAACATAGTCTTTTTTTATTTTTGATATGTATATAATACATATATATAATTTTAAATATCTCTTATCAAGATTTGAAATTTATATTGTTGAAATGTATATTGTTAAAACCATTTTTAATAATTTATACATTTTAAATCATCTCTCTCTCTCTCTCTCTCTCTCTCTCTCTCTCTCTCTCTCTCTCTCCAATTTTTCTAATATTTATTATTATAAATTATCTGTACAAT